GGTTTAGTCCACTTTTGTATCCTTCCCTTCAAGGCTCAGGGGTCCAAGATTATCTTCTGTGTCTGTGTTAATTGGTTTCCCTTTTCTTTGTTGAAGAGCGTCTGTGCAGTCCTTGTGCCTAGTCTGCCATCTTCCTAACTCTCTCTCTTTTTCCTCTTTAGTGAACAAAATTTATAGTAATTTCAATTACCACTTTCACCTAAAGTATATTTCATATGAAGTTTAGTGTATTCATCTGAAGGTGAAATTGTATTTCTTATTTTAATAAATCAAAAAGCATAGAACCGGTTCTCTTCTAGATGAATTCTTCTTTCTCCTGTAATTTGTATTTACCTGGTACAAAGAACATACCTGAGGCTACATGCCTTTTCAACAGCAGAAGCGAATAATGTCCTCTAACCAATGCTATGTGGTTTTAGAAATGTCAGTGGATTATTAGAGAGTCTCATTCAGAAAGCTCTGAGTACACACTGAATCATTAAAGAAAAAAAATTTAAAAAGCAATAAACTGAATGAATTGTAACAGACTTTGAAGTTGAAGGAGACTGTGAGAGGGAGTGAGTGAGTGAGTGAGTGACAGAGACACAGAGAGTGAGATTATATTTCTCCATGTATTTTACTCATGGAAAGAGGATTTATTATCAGTTCTGAAAAGGCTAGTCTTCCCTTATTCAGGGATCTCAGTTCTTTTTAAAATAAGATATATGTGGATGGAGTTCATTTAGCACATAGGATTAAGAGGCAGTGACAAGGCCTGAGGGATCTTACTTACCCCTTCCAGAGCAAGGCAGACTCGAGCTTCCCTGGCACTTCCTGATACTCTCTTCGGCTGACAGTGGGCAGGAACGTGGGTGTTCACACTTTTTACCATACCAACCTACTTTGCAGTCACATCTTCCACAATTACACTGTCCATGACCTTTACAATGAGAGTAATAAGAAAAAGATATATAAAGATAATGAAATCAGAATTAGTTTTCATCATAACAGTGAATGTCACAAATGAGTCAGGATCTTAATGAACAAAATATGAAATATTAAGGGAAAAGCAATTTTTCCTTCATTTCTCAAATAACTGATTTATATTAATTGTTCACCAGAGGTAAAGAAAATCAACAAAACCAAACCCATTGCTGTTGAATCTTTTCCAATTTATAACAACCCTATAAGACAGCGTAAAGCTTCCTCATAGCGTTTCCAATGCTGTAAATCTTTATGGAAACTGACTGCCTCACCTTTCTCCCATGGAGTGGCTGACTTTTTGGTTAATGGCTTAAGGACTTAACCACTGCACAAACAGGGTTCTTTCAGTAAGTCCAGATAAGATAAAATTTAATAGTGTTATAAAGTTGAATCTATCAAAATCCAGGTGTATACAATTTTACTGGTCTGCTAGACCCTAAAAGGACTATTTAGCATTTGATAGATTTGGCAATTAACTCATGTGAAACGCAGCCAAGGGAAATGAAAACAACTTGTTTTGGAAACAAAATCCTTATCTTTGGGAGTTTCACACATTTTATTTTCATTGGGTTTTTACTACTAATTGTGTGCTTAGCCTAGGGACTCCTAGCCTAAAACCAATCACTTGTGTGGAGTTCACAATCCTTGAAGACCAATTCAATATACACAAAAGAGGTCAAGAAAGAGATTAAATTTCTTTACAATTGGACACAGACCATAAAGAATTGGGATGAGTAGTGCAATGGTACAGTAAAAGCACAGGTAGATTACCAATAAAATAATGGGTTCACACTCTGGTTCTGCTATTTTCAGAGTTAGGCTGATCAAATGGCCAGCTTTCGTGGATTTTCCTCATTTTTCAAACAGGATAATAATATTTGATTTATTTACATTTTAGCAAAGTACATTCTACATCTTAAAATACTACATAATGTGAGTTACTGTTATTTTTATGCATTTGATCACACATATGTAACCAAGTAGGACTAGAACAGAAAGCATGATCATTTCAACTGAGCCTTTCTAATTCCCAATAAACATCCAGATACTCAATCTTACAGATGCAGAATAAAGTGAGTTTCTATAATTAATCAAGACTTGTGTGAAGAATTTAAAGAAAGTAGAATTTCACTTTTTAAACAAATAAAATATAACACTAATGGATGGAAATCATGCTATTATATGTCTTTGGCATATGATAGTGACATATGTCACACAATATGGAAGTTTACCTTCAGTGCAAACCAGCCTGTTCAATTAATATTCTATGAGATTCTGTGCAAAGATGTCCATCTTCTGAGTTTGAAGATATTGGAAACATTTCACACATTGAACTATTACCTTGGATCTTTATGGTGCAAATCATAAAGTCACAGAAGGTGAAAATGAGATGAGATTATTAGGAATCATTTGATCCAAATATCTCATTTAATAATAAATTCAATTCAATAAACATTTACTGAGCATCGACCATGTAGCAGAGTCTATTCAACAACTGGATGTCATCAACCCTTCAAGCTCATAATTTAAAAGGAAAGAAAGTTCAATAATTACCATATTTGAAAGATGTGGATATGATCATTTAGATTTTCAAATATGAGAATGTTTTATTATAACGTTGTTGTTGTTCTGTGCCATTGAGTCAGCTCTGACTCATAGCGACCCCTCCTTGGGTTTCCGAGGCAGTATCACTATGGAAGTAGATTGCCCAACCTTCCTTCTGAGGAGTGGATAGTGGGATTGAACCACCAGCCTTCTGGTTAGCAGTCAAGTGCCTTAGACACTATGCTACCAGAGCTCCTTTTATTATAATGATTTATTATTAATAATGATTATATATTAGAGATTATTGATTTTTATGACTTTACCACTTTCTCAGCTTAAGCATTTCTGGTTCTTCTTCCCAACTGTCATCTGATAGAGGAAGAAAGTTTCCAAAAAAGCCATGGTGTCAATGTATACATAAGTAAAAGTTCTTTTTTTTTACTTTTTTTTTTTTTTAAATTGTGATTTGGGTGAAGATTTACAGAGCAAATTCACTTTCCATACAGCAGTTCACATGTACTTTGTCTCATGTCATTGACCACAGTTTACCCCAATGCAACAGCTCCCCTCCCACTTCCTCCCCATAGTTACCTCTTCCCAGTATCTGTTCCTTCATACACTCCTGCCCCCTGAGCTGTCTCCCTGTGCATAGGCAGCCTGTCTTTCTCCCATGGTTGTTCTCTCCAAGGAGTGTGTCTACTTGAGGTAAATGTTCAACT